TTTTGTTTTTGTCTTTTGATTTTGTTATTTTGTCTTAATTTTAATTTTTGTTTAAGTTTTAGTATTTTTTGTATGCTTTTATTATTTTCATTAGTTTTTTATGTCTATAGTTTTTATTGACATATTGAGTTAAACTAAATGAAAATGAGAATGGTTGCCTTGGCAAAGTTTTTTTTTTTATTATATATTTTAATTTATTTCAGTTGAAGTAATGCATTTTTTTAATGGTTTTATTGAAGTTTTTGTCTTTTGATTTTGTTATTTTGTCTTAATTTTAATTTTTGTTTAAGTTTTAGTATTTTTTGTATGCTTTTATTATTTTCATTAGTTTTTTATGTCTATGGTTTTTATTGACACATTGAGTTAAACTAAATGAAAATGAGAATGGTTGCCTTGGCAAAGTTTTTTTTTATTATATATTTTATTTTATTTCAGTTGAAGTAATGCATTTTTTTTATGGTTTTATTGAACTAGTCTAGCTTTCTAATACAACATTGTACATTATGAACACTGTTGACTATGTGATGAATTGCGTTTGTTCCTCTATTTTAAGTCACTCTGGATAAAAGCATCTGCTAAATGCATAAGTGTAAAAACTACTATAAATTAAAAGAAAAAGAAGAAAAGAAAAATGAAGTTGTTGTCTGTGGTAATTGACAGCAGGCCGCAGATGCACTTGTTCTGATCCCGAATTTTTGCTTGAAGCAAATTACAAAATAAAATCTTTCCAATCTCACAACAAAATATTTGCATTTATTATTAATTTAACTGATAAATGAAAAAAATCACTCGAACCTTCCGGGCAACACTTACTCTGACACCTCCATTACTGCAATATTCAACACAGCATATGGCCTGTTGCTACGGCGACTCCTTCTTAATTACAATATTCCTCTTCGAAAAGTCGCTTTCAATGCGTTGACCTTTAGGAAACAAGAGAGACTGTGAAACACGGAAGGTCTAAAGTAAGACCTCACTTTCTGCTCACAATATGCTCAACAAAAGCTGTTCATTCTTAATTAAGAGAGAGTAGTTGTGTTACTGCGCATGTGTATAGGTGTGGTTTTGGATACATATACACATCACTGTAACAGCTACGAAATATACGGTATATGATAAACGCAAGACTATATCATGTAAATATGTCACATACATCATTTACTACCCAAACAAATATATATTCACAATATAGAGGTGGATGGGGACCCTTAAACACAGATGTATGAACACACAAGCATCTGCTTTGATGCCGATGATCATTTTCTCTTCAACATATTTGCTGTGTGAAAATTGAATATGGTGTAAGCGAGGTGTTATGTTGCTATGTTGGGTTTTTGTTAAACTAAAGAATTTGACAACTGTATAAGCACCTGTACACTTCTGCGAGGACATTTTGTCTCATATTTCTGTTGACAGATAGTGTATGATGAGGACTGGAGTGCTGGACAGGGAAGGAAACAGGTACACAATTCAGTTCCATCCACAAATATTCTATTTTGCAATGTAAAAGTAAGCTATTTTCTGGATTCAATAGTGAATAACTAGAAGAATAACTAGAATAAAAAGTGTGGAAAAAACTAAAACTATTTGCGTTGCAGTGTGTTCATGATTACTTCAATATATTAAAATAATATCTTGACAAATACCTGTTTGCAAGATCAAGCAGATCGTTTTGACCGGAAGCGAATGACACCGGAAGCCTCGCACATTCAAGTTACAAATGGCCGCGCCCGCTCTAAAATATGTGAATGTTTGAATTGAAATTGAATAAAAAGGCATACATTAAAACAACTGTATGTAAGGTTTTTGTTTTACCTTGAAATATCAGTTTCAAAATCACTCTAATGGTACAGTGGCGTCTAAAAAGGCGAATGGCTTCCAATCTTCCAAGATTGAAGCTGTTGTGAAAACTGTATAGAGTGACAGACAGTCATATGAGCAGCACTCACTCATGTCCCCGTCATTGCATTAGATACATAGAAAAGCAAGTGCAAGTGTTTATTTGAAAGATGAAACAAAAACACCTTAAGTAAAACATCTGGTATAATGAAAAGTTTTTGGTTGCAAATGAAAAAAACAATAGATATACTGTTCAAAATGAACAAAACAACTAAAATCAGGATTAAAAGACATTAAGCAAAAATGAAGAGGAAAAAGTTATTGGAAAAAAGATTTGAGTGCATATGACTACTGATTTGACTATGTGTCTAATGCAAAGAAATTTCTTAGTGTCTGAATTCTGTGGGGTCATCCATGCTACTTTCCTTAATTTAACAGTGCCACCTAGTGGCAGATTTTGTTTCAATACTGTTAATAATAATCCCACAAGTGAGAATTCTGTCATCATTTCCTCACCAAATAGCCCCAAACATGTATGGTTTTCTTTCTTCTGAGGAACACAAAAACAGAGGTCTAGTGCAATGTTCATGCTGCTCTTCTCCATAAAATTGAAAGGGCATAGGCTATTGCATACATTTTCGAAAACAATCTGCCAGTATATACTGTGCATAGTATAGCAAGCATTACCTTCCTTAGAGAAAATCAGTTCTCTCATTGTAACACTCCAAAGAGAAAGGAAAAATTGAAATCGCATCATATGACCCCTTTAATGTCCCACTGTAGTCAAACATTTTATCCCTTAAAACTCATCTTTGATCATCAAAATGACATATTTAAATGTTTTTTCTTGTGAAAAATAGCTTGAATGTAACACTACACCCTTACCTCATTTACTATACACAGATATATGAACATGCAAATAAGCCCCGCCTCCTCTCAGTCACACCAGCCAGGGCCTCCTGATCCACGGATAATGACTGCTAAAACGGTTTACTAGCAGACAACTACAGTGGATACTGTAACAGTCGTTACAATTAAAATTAAAAACACCACATAGACAAATAAACAACATAAAAAACTTGATTTTCACTACAGGGGGACGTTAACATAATATTAACACCGTTAAATATTAAGGAACAATTCATCCCAAAATTTAAATTCCTCATCATTTGCTCAGGCCTCCTCATATGACTTTGTTTCTTCTGTTGAACACAAAAGGAGAAATTAAGCAGAAAGTACACGCTGCTCTTGTCCATACAATAAAAGCATTTAGTGACTGCCAAGATCCAAAAAGGACCAAAACACACCATAAAATCATCACAACGTACTCCATATGCACTATATTTCAAGTCTTCTGAATCCATACAATATCTTTGCAAGAGGTACACACACACATACACACACCAAAATAAAGTTTTTACTGGCTGAACATCTTGCCTTTTGTATTTAAAAAATATTTAGGCCTAAATTTAAGACATGTATTTGAATTGCATATACAATATCCATCCATTTGGATTACGTAGTTTAAAAATAAACAAATAAACTATATGTGATGCTTAATTGTCGGTTGCACATAAATCAAGCAGTTAAGATTACTGTATGTGTTTTAAATACACAATAACCAGGTTTATATATTCATCATCATTAAATCCATTTTTAACTAAATGAATTTAATTTTCACGATGAACAGATTTATGCTGACTAAGCAAATTTAATAAATGCATTATGAAAACATTATGTAAATAAAATCAAATGCAAATAGTTAATAATAAACTACGCTTTTTGTTTGTAGAAATCGTTCCTGTTTTATTTATGCATGACTGACAATTAAACATCATAAAGTTTATTAGTTTATCTTTAAACTGTGTGATCCAAATGGATGGAAATTAATTACGCAATTAAAATATATAAATATTAAATTTAGGCTAATGTATAAGTCATAAATGTAAGTGTGTTGAACAAAAGAAATCATACGAGTTTGGAAATGAAATGAGAGAGAGTAAATTATAACATAATTGGATTTATGGAGGAACTATTCCTTTTTCTTCTCAAATCACACACACTTCAGTCCCAAAAACAGCAGCACGTTTGTTCTGAGCCCTTTAAGTTGATGTTTATTGTGAATCACGCGTGTGCAGACAGAGGATTTTCTCTTTCTCTGCGTCCTGCTCAAAAACAGACATCATGGGGACGGCTAGACACTAAAGATCACAGTGTCACCTTTAACAAACTGAACATGATCAGCTCACACACACACACACACACACACACACAGGATTAGCATCCATGACCTCTAGTAAATAGTCTGAATCTACAGGAAACTTTACTGTAAACCACAAGGCAAACTAAATCATGTGACCCATGTAATAAAATTACAATTTGCTTCATCTCAGGAGAAATGCATATCCATTACTTACTCTCATTTTGTCAGGGTAAACAATGCTATTCATTTTGCAGTGTAAAAATATGGAGGGGGGGAGACTTTTACATGAATAAATATGGTAAATAATATACATACACAAGATACAGTTATGCATAAAAATTTTACAGATTTTGTATAAATAAAATACAATTCCGAAGCTCAGCTTTACTCACGTCACACCCTCAGAAAACGAACACATCCAGTCGTTGTGAATGCATGCATTTATCCAGTCACACATCCCATCTCAGACTCACTCGGTCAGAGAAACCATATTTACAACAAAACAGATGGAAAAAAATAGAAGAAAAGAACAGAGTTAAATGATTCAATTAACAGACTAGTTCCTGAATGCTGAACATATTAATGGATGAACCTCAGAAAAGCTGTCAAGAACATATACAGGTCACATTTAACCCTGAAATCAAAAAGAAAATAAGAAGCTATATTTCATTTCTGTGGATCATGTGACACTAAAGACCGGTGTAATGATGCTGAAAATTCAGCTTTGCATCACAGGAATAAATTACATTTTAAAACATGCTAAAATAGAAAACAGTGATTTTAAATTGTAATAATATTTCACAATATTACTGTTTTTACTGCATTTTTCATCAAATAAATGAAGCCCTGGTGAGCATAAGAGACTTCTTACAAAAATATTAAAAAATTGGACTTCCCCCGTTTTATCGCCATTAATTAATGCTCATTTATATAATGTAATCATATTTCAGTATTTTCAACAATCTATTCTACATTTACTTATAGTCTTAAAAATTGGGTTCTTTTCGTCATGCAAAATGTCGTTTCCTATTTGTTTATGATTGATTTTGGAGTGAAACATGACCTGGACATGCTCTCTTCAGATTTCTTGAGATGCTCAAAGGACAGAGAAAAACGTGTCACAAATTCCCAAGGAAACCAGTAAAAATGACATACGGCGTAATATGCAGGTATTGCAGAGAGAGCACAGTGATATGGTTATGACTTACACACTACTACGGTCAGTTATAAGTCTTACATCGTCTACGGTGACTGCTTGTTTGTGTGTGAGCGTTTCCTACAGAGGACGTTTCAGTTCGGTTCGCTTTCAGAAAGACTACACGAAGAAAGGCATCCGAAGGTAAGCGAGAGAAGGTCAAATCTTAGGTTGAATCAGACGTTTTCTACTCCACAGCTGCACACAGACGTGCTCAAATACTGCCACTTCTTACGGCTTTTCTCAAGTTATAAAAGCTCTGATCTAAACGCAGACAGTCATTTACAATAGTAATACATATACATATTCAGGGTTTCATATATGCGACCTCTATTAGCAGATGAGGCGAACAAACGCGTGTCAGAGGCAGAGCATGTTTGCTGAAATGCATCAGTCCATGCCAGGTAAAGCGCATTTAAAATAGCTGAACACACCATCGCTGTTGGCCGAAAAGCAGAATATTGTTCATGGGTGCAACTGCTGCTAAGATTAGTTATTTACAGTTTACTGCAGGCCACATATTATATATATATATATATTTAGATAGAAATCACAGTTTGAGCTTTACACACATACCAAGTCATCCGACTGCAAGGCTGCTCAAATGCGGAAAAACATAGAAAGCATTTGAAATGGAGGTTTTAATAAGAATCCTAACATTCGATGGCATCGTTTCAGCCGCTGCATGCTTTTCTTAGTGCACTCTAAAGGTTTGGGAAGGAAATGAGATCTGCTTCTGTAAATAAAACAGACCAGACAAAAGCAGCTGTTATCTCTGGTCCGTTATGTCCTTCATCATTCAGAGAGATCAGCCTTATGAAAGTCTGGAGATAATGGCAGCTTTGGAGGGGATAGAGGCCGAACACAAAGTGATGTAAGCATTAGCTGCATCCTCTAGAGGGCGCCGTGGACTTTCAGAACTGAGCACTGTCCTGATGGCAAGTTCACCGCTCTGTGTCTGACATCGGACCTCAAGACGCCAATGGAAGTCACTCTAGGCATTTGCAGTTTCTGTTCAAAGCAGATTGAAGACATTTAGATAGCATCAGACATGAAAAAAACAAAAAAGTCACACTGAAAAACGCCTGAATGTCATTGCATTAGATAATACATCAAATCAAGATTCTGTATCTGCATGTCTTGAATGCTCCTGTGCTAATGTTGCTTCATTTCATCATTTTTGAAGTCTCAATGTCTTTTGTTAAATGTCAAATATCAACATTGGTGTTTTTGCATTTATCTGATGAAAAATTCAGTCAAAACAGTAATATTGTGAAATATTGTTACAATTTAAAAGAACTGTATTCTGTTGTAATATATTGTAAAATGTCATTTATTCCTGTGATGCAAAGCTGAATTTTCAGCATCATTTCTCCAGTCTTCAGTGTCACATGATCCTTCAGAAATCATTCTAATATGCTGATTTGCTGCTCAATAAACATTTCTTCTTATTACCAATGCTTTATATTTTTGTGGAAATATATGTTTTCAGAATCCTTTGATGAATATGATATTTTTTTACTTGACATAGAAATCTTTTGTAACATTACAATTGTCTTTACTGTCACTTTAATGCAAGGATTTTTTCTTTAAATATTTTTTTACTGACCCCAAACTTTCAAATGTTTTGCTATCTTTCTTTAATGCCACTTGTTTTGATATTTTATTATATGATGCATTAACATTCAGACATTAAGTGTCTAAATTTGTTGTTGGTGTCACAATATGTAGTTACAGTATGTTTTAAAGCAACATAAGTCTCTGTTACAGAATAAATATGTATGATTTATTCCTGTGATGCAAAGCTGAATTTTCAGCATCATTACTCCAGTCTTCAGTGTCACATGATCCTTCAGAAATCATTCTAATATGCTGATTTGCTGCTCAACAAACATTTCTTCTTATTACCAATGCTTCATATTTTTGTGGAAATATATATGTTTTCAGAATCCTTTGATGAATATGATATTTTTTACTTGACATAGAAATCTTCTGTAACATTACAATTGTCTTTACTGTCACTTTAATGCAAGGATTTTTTCTTTAAATATTTTTTTACTGACCCCAAACTTTCAAATGTTTTGCTATCTTTCTTTAATGCCACTTGTTTTGATATTTTATTATATGATGCATTAACATTCAGACATTAAGTGTCTAAATTTGTTGTTGGTGTCACAATATGTAGTTACAGTATGTTTTAAAGCAACATAAGTCTCTGTTACAGAATAAATATGTATGTTTACCACGGAGCGTTCTCTTATGTTCATCTGCTGGTGATTCTACCTCTTCAGACACTTCTCCTGTTTACAGACATCAGATTATTAGAGATGACACACAGGAACTGTACCACTTTGGAAAACGTACCATGTTTGGAATAGCATATTGCCATACTACTACTCATATTATTTTTTCAAGATTTAGGCCAGCACTGTGCACAAGTATGCAGATTCTCAGTATGCACTGAATAGTTCTGATTTATTACACTACCGTTGAAAAGTTTGGATCAGTACGATTTTTTTAATGTTTTTGAAAATCTCTTCTGCTTACCAAGGCTGCATTTATTTGATCAAATTTTGTATGCACTGAATACCCACAATGCAATGCACTTGGTGACCTTCTATTTCTAATTTGACAACTGAACCAGAAGAAGTATCAACCATATTTTTTAACAAATCTTTCTCTGTTCATTTGATACTCCTCTCCTCTGATTATCCACCAGAGGGCAGTCATTACTAAAAGTTACACTTGAGCAACATGAACTGAGCTGACAGTAACAATCATATCATTTTAACACAATACCGTTCTGTAATTTCTGATGTGCCTCTTCTTTCTTTGATTTGTCATGGGGACTTTCTTCTGGGGGTTTGTTTACCCCCCCTGGCTCCGGGTCGTCCTCTCCCACCCTGTCTTTCTTTGGTCCCGGCTGCTCTGGGTCTTTTTTGTGCTCCTGGTTTTCTGCTGTTGCCTCCTGCTGTTCCTCCTGCTCTCGTTTGGCCTTCTCCTCCGTCTCTGATATGAGACACAGCGGGAGGCACATGATTCTCTATTCGCTTACTCGGAATGCATGAGCTGCTAAAAGTTTGGATGTACTGTACCAATTTAGCCCTATTTTCCCCAGTTTTAAGTCATCAAACTACAGTATGAAATAATTCCCATACTTCCATTTGTGCTTCTGATCTCAACATTTTCACACCCAAATTCACAAGGGTACATCCTGGGTTTTTAAAACACTTTTGAAGGAGTTTACATGTATCTTGGACACTTAATGGCTGGTTTACCTATCCAATCCAACTACATTCAAACATTTTTTTAATTAAAATGTTAGTTATGTACGGAAATTTATGCATAGGCATATTTGTCAATAACTAACTTCAAGCAGAAGCCTTTATTTCAAAAGGTTGTTCAGATCATGAGAAACAAATTCAGTTTTAGTTTTATTTTATATTGATTTATTACGCTACTGTTCAAGAGTTTGAGTAAGATTATTTTAATGCTTTTGAAAGTCTCATTTAAAATAACTGCTTTCTATCTAAATATATTTAAAAATTTCATTTACTCCTGTGATTGTAAAGCTGAATTTTCAGCATCATTTCTCCAGTCTTCAGTGTCACATGATCCTTCAGAAATCATTCTGATTTGCTGCTCAAGAAACATTTAGATTTATTATCAGTGTTGAAAACAGTTGTGCTTATTAATGTTTTTGGTGGAAACTGTGATACATTTGTTTTCAGGATTCTTTGATGTATAAAAAGTTAAAAAGCACAGCATTTATTTGAAATTTTTTTGTAACACTGTAAATGTCTTTACTACCACTTTTGATCAATTTAATGCATCCCTGCTGAATAAAAGTATTAATTTCTTTAAAAATTTTTTTTTTAAAAAGTACAGATTATAAACTATTGAACGGTAATGTATATTTAGAAGAGTTTTACCAGACTAATCACCCTGTTTTTCTCCAAAATAAAACATAATTATTTTAATTTCATGCTAATTTTGTGTTGCCATTGAGTTCCAGTGTGCAGACAATCCTGTTTGAGGATGTTTTATTTGCATACCGATATATAACACAGGCATTCTTGCATGGAACATTGTGCTCGCACCTTTAGCTGCCTGCGTCTTCCACCGCTCTCTGTTCAGAGAAACCTCCTCGTTCCAGATGGCCTTGAAGTTCTTCAGGTCCACAGTGAGCAGCGAGCAGTTATAAGATCCGCTGCTATCAGAACCAGAGCTGTTCACACTGCTCCGCGACGCATCTCCCGCGCTAATGCTGTTTGAGATGATGGGGACAGGACGAACGGTTAACTCATCACAAATCACATTACAAATGCATTGGCAGCAATTACATCACATCCACTAAGCTTCCGTAACATCTCCACATCTACCTAAATTTCATTCAGTAGCCCATCTATCCACACAGTTCTGTTGTTTTCCTGCTCTGTTGATCATTAATATGCTGCTGCTGCTTTGTGTCCTTTCTATGAACCTTTGATCTGTTTTAGTTGACTGTATATTCTAAAGAGAAGGGATATGATTTAGTCCCGTATATGCAGATGTTATTTGAAAAGAGAGAAGGTGCTATCATGCTCAGTCAGCAGCAGCAATTCAACTCCTACGTAGAAAATCCAAAGAAACTTGCAAACTAAAAGAGTGTTGAAGTGGAGTCACTCTAACTTCTGTCTGAACTGATGGATCCCTTTTTGACTGAATAACAAGGCTAAGAGACAGTAGCGCATTTATTCACATTCACTTTTTTTCTCCAAATGATGAAACTGAGGTATCTGAGTAAGACTAAATTGGATTCGCAGTAATGACTGCAATTGCATCAGTGAACTGGGTTTCGATAAAAAGACAAGCTTTGCCATGAGGCACTATTTTGTCTGTCTTAATGTTCATTCATTATCTCTATTCCTGTACTGCAGAAGCAGACCTGCGGAAACCAGCCAGGCCTGAACTTGTGGCCTCTTCGATGAGCGGTGTGACGATCTTCTCGGTCATGTCCGTCAGAACCGTAAACGTGGGAACAACGATGAAGTCAATGAAACCTGCAGGAAATGATAAAGAAATGGCTTTTTTTTTTTGCACTGTGCTTGATTTTTTTTAAGAAGCTATTTGAATAAATTATCCTCATACGCATGATCCTCAAGAAAGCTGTTTCAGCTATTGCAAGTTTAAAGCTGAAATGTGTCATTTTTTCCCCTGTTCCAATTTAAAGGAATAGTTCACCCTAAAATGAAAATTTGCTGAGGATTTACTCACCCTCAGGCCATCCAAGATATAGATGAGTTTGTTTCTTCATGGAAACAGATTTGGAGAAATTTAGCATTACATCACTTGCTCGCTAATAGATCCTCTGCAGTGAATGGGTGCCGTCAGAATGAGAGTCCAAACAGCTGATAAAAACATCACAATAATCCACAAGTAGTCCACACCACTCCAGTCCATCAATAAACATCTTGTGAAGCAAAAAGCTGCGTGATTGTAAGAAACAAATACCATTAAGACTTTTTTTAACTTCAACTATTGCTATTTTTTAACTTTTAACTATTGCTTCTGACCAAAATACGAGTCCTCTATCAACAATATCGCTTTCTCCAGTGAAAAAGTAATCTCGTCTGAATCAGGAGAGACATATGCACAGATCAAGCAACATTTACAAGCAAAAAAAATCAAAAACAAAAACAAACGGCCAATTCTAAACAAATATTCTGGTGGACAACAGGGGATACATTTTTTCACGGGAGAAAGCATTAATATATGGACTCATATTTTGGACAGAAGTGACGGTTTAAAGCTAAAACATTTTAATGATGTATTTGTTTCTTACAAACATGCAACTTTTCACTTCACAAGATGTTAACTGATGTACTGGAGTGGTGTGGATTACTTGTGGATTACTGTGATGTTTTTATCAGCTGTTTGGACTCTCATTCTGACGGCACCCATTCACTGCAGAGGATCCATTGGTGAACAAGTGATGGAATGCTACATTTCTCCAAATCTGTTCTGATGACGAAACTCATCTACATATTAGATGGCCTGAAGGTGAGTACATATTCTGCTAATTTTCCTTTTTGGGTGAATTATTCCTTTAAAATAAGTATTACAATTACACTTAGAGTGTGTTTGTGTCACTCACCAATCTGGGACTGAGCCACCATAGTGGACTTACGGTCGCACAGAGGTGAGAAAGGTAGACCAAGTTCTGCCTCCTTATCGCCCTGCAAATACAAACACATCATTCAATAATACATTATTATCAGGGGACAATTTTGGCATTTCTAAATATATATAGCACAATTGTTAATAAAGGTTTACCAATACGGCTAAATGCTTATGAAAGGACACGACTAACGGACAGTTGCTGCACTGGATCTGGTTCATAAAGATTTGTTTCTTATATGAAATATTCACAAACATTTCTTGAAGGCAGATTAAAATAAACTGTCACGCTTTTATGTTGGGCCTGTCATTATTGATCTGCCTCCTGGAGTATTCAGCTGCTGAAACAATACTAGACACACACAGGAATAGCTCCCACTCTCTAATCTGTCAATCAGTCAACGCATACTTATGTAGCTCCACTCTGTGGAGAATAGAGCTGTGCTTTATAACAGTCACTTTAGTAGCAGATAAACGGACACATGACGGGTAAGAACAGGAGGTAATACAGAGAAAGCAATTCCCTTCCATTGTTCACTATACAAAGTAACAGAAACAGGAGGAGTCCATTAGAGCATTTAGTCTGTGTTGACAATCAATAACATTCAACCACAAAAAATATCAATATGTACGTACATATATACATAATATACTGTATATATAACATATATATACATAAATGGATCCTCTGCAGTGAATGGGTGCCGTCAGAATGATCACAATAATCCACAAGTAATCCACACCACTCCAGTCCATCAGTTAACATCTTGTGAAGTGAAAAGCTGACGGCACCCATTCACTGCAGAGGATCCATTGGTGAACAAGTGATGTAATGATCTAAATTTCTCCAAATCTGTGCCCATGAAGAAAAAAACTCATCTACATCTTGGATGGCTTGAGAGTGAGTACATTTTCAGCAAATTTTCATTTTTGGATGAACTATTCTTCAAGTCGGCATGTTAAACAGGCTTAAAAGAAGGCATCTCCTGTTTTTCCGTCCATAATTAAAAAAAATTATAATTAGGACTTTCTATTCTATATACTGAAGATACTTAAGACTTATTAGGGCCTTAAATTTTGAAAGATGAATTTAAGTGAATTTTCAATGCTGCTTTAGTGTATTAAACACTTTTCTGAGAATATATTTTGAACTAAGTCTATTTTGCTTACTCCTTTGGGAAATACACTCAAAAAAATGCTGGGTTGTTTCAACCCAACTTTGGGTCAAATATGGACTAACCCAACTTTTGGGTTAAAAATTTAATGTAAAAATTTAACCCAACGGTTGGGTTAGTCCATATTTGTCCCAATGTTGGGTTGAAACAACCCAGCATTTTTTTGTGTAGTTTTTTCTTGTTTTAAGCAAAAATCCGACACAATTTGGTGAGGTTTTCACATAAACACACAACAAAATGAGAACAAACAAGGTATGTGAAATGAGTATTACAGAATACATGCATATGACATTGCTGTGATGTTTAAAAGAAGAGCAAAGTGCTGTTCACACCGGTAAGTCACATAATCATGCCAAAGTTTAATTTCGGGACCTGCATTCGATAGGGCCGTGAAAGCCAGTTATTTTCAGAGGTTTATGTTCAGGTGTAAACAAGTAGTTTATCACAAGTAGTGATAGTCCTCGCACAGGCTTACGTGTGATTGGATGAAAGGGCATTCAGAAGAGAACAGGAAGAGAACCAAGAGAGGATTAAAGTACATAGAAGGAGACGAGATTTTTCTTGCTGTGCTTTGCTCTTCTCACACATTCATACAAATGCCAACACTCGCCGAACGAGTCTAAAGAATAAACATGCGTCGAACCTGTCGGAAAAACTCTTCCAGCAGTGAAGTAGTCCAGCGATGGTGTAGATCCCAGTTCTTGGCTGGATGACTGATGTCAGCTGTGTGTAACAGCAAAGACAGAGCCTTGGGTTTGTCAATTCTGGGTGAGGAAAACAAACACCAATCCCACTGATAAATATGTGTTTGTTCTAATACATGACAATGAAATTAAATGGAGAGCAAATATAATATAATATAATAAATATAATATAATATAATATAATATAATATAATATAATTAATATAATGTTTTCCAGTTAAAAAAAAATAAAAAAATAAATAAATACAAAAAAGGGCTATATATATATATATATACATATACATACTGTATATAAAAAAATAAGACCATGTGATAAATGTGTTTTCCTGACACATGACAATAAAATTAAATGGAGAACAAATGGAGACTTTTGTATAATTTTCCTGCATTTCAAATGCTCCTTCTGAGAAAAAGACCTCAGTAATCTTCTCTAGTTTCAGAAGATACGTTAAAAAATACATCTGTTTACATTTGCCAAAATAAGAAATCTGCAATCAAAAGACAAGATTTCAATAAGAACTTCTCAATAAGAGTTTACAATCAAACTCATTCAGTTAAGCTGCATTCATTTTATTTTATTGTATGTATCATTTGTCTATTTTTATTTCTCCAAAGGAACAGTAAAAGAAACATCTTGAGAAATTCAGCTATGAAAGAGCAAACTCTAAGCAATAGCATCTTGCTCTGGGGAGACACAGACGAGGCAGAAGGCGACAGACAACAGTGAAGCATGTCTGATGGTTGTTTGTAAAGGTTTCTCACCCCTCGGGCTGCTGGAGGAAATTCTTCATGGCTTTGACCTGCTGAAAGTGGCAGGACATGTCAGTGGCCAAAACCATCTCGACCACGAGTGCCCTGAGCTCTCTAAAAACACAAGCACACAAAACTTCACTGAATCTCCTCACCGGAGAAAATAATTGAGTTCCACTTCAAAGTGTGAGAATAATAGTTTTCTTTCTGAATGAGAAAGAAAAGGTTTCCGTCTGTATAGCAGAACTTCATCCGACCTTCTCTCTCTATTGTGTTTAGTTGAGAATAGCACAGAGTATACGTAAAAACACTTCTTTCAGCATTTTTTGCTGGGTGTTTCTTCGACTTTAAGCACTTTGCCCCTTAAAAATATAACTTTTAAAACCCTTAAAACACTCTTACTATATTTTTGTAATTTTTTTAAACTAACTCCTCCTTGCTAAGGCTAATTTGAAAGGTAGCCTTTTAAATCTTAAACACCCAGTTAGACATCCAATTAAATATTTTCAAACTTTTTGAATAATTTAGATGAAATTAAGGCTTGACTGGAAATGCATAATAAAAAAAATATTCTACTGTGATATTTATCTTGATTTTATAGTTTCCTTTGCACATCATGTTAGATACTTCTCAAGTTCTTGGTGTGTGTGTGTGTGTGTGTGTGTGATGTGTGTACCTGTTTTTCTATTCTGGTGAGGACTTAAACCTGAATACACACAGACTCATGGGGACTCGTGTCATGGTGGGGACCTAAATTGCGGTCCCCATGGGTAAACAAGCTAATAAATCACACAGAATGAAGTTTTTTTTAAATCTAAAAATGCAGAAAGTTTCCTGTGAGATATGTGACCCTGGACCACAAAATCAGTCATATAGGTCAGTTTTTTTAAAATTGAGATTTATACCTCATCTGAAAGATGAATAAATAAGTTTTTCCATTGATGTATGGTTTGTTAGGATAGGACAATATTTGGCTGAGATACAACTATTTGAAAATCTGGAATCTGAGGGTGCAAAAAAATCTAAATATTGAGAAAATCATCTTTAAAGTTGTTCAAATGAAGTTCTTATCAATGCATATTACTAATCAAAAATTAAGTTTTGATATATTTACAGTAGGAAATTTACAAAATATCTTTATGGAACATGATCTTTACTTAATGTCCTAATGATTTTTGGCATTAAAAAAAATCTATAATTTTGACCCATACAATGTATTTTTGGCTATTGCTACAAATATACCCCAGCGACTTAAGACTGGTTTTGTGCTCCAGGGTCAAAAATGTAAAAGTCAGCTAAAAAGCATGCATGCAAAAATAAATAGCTTCCAAGACCATTTTAATGTGACATTCATTTAAAAAAACAAAAACAGAAATCTATTAGTTTTAATAAAAAAAGCAACTCCTGGTACATAAAAGTACTCGTAAGAAACACCCATTTCCTATCACAATATTGTAATTACAGAACATTTATTGTGTCAGTTAGCATTTTTTTCTGTTCTCAACACCAGAAAACAAAAGAAGTGAGACGATGGTGAAAACGATTAGATGCTGGATGTGAAATCCTGCTGTACCTCCAGTCATCTTTGGAGAGGTTGTACAGGATGTTCATCTCGTCGTCGTCCTGCAGCAGTCGATACGCCGCGCTGACGTGATGACTCTCCAGCACAGAGCGGTCGTTGTACAGGATGGCTGTGTCCGACCTGCAGGAATCAATGTAAACTCAATACATGGTTTTTCCTAGAGAACTAACTTTGATTTATAGTTTGCATTTTGGTAGTAATGAATTACAAAAAAGAAAAGAGTGATCAAAATGAGGGAAGCAACAAAGAAAACGACATCTAGACATAAATATCTGCATGTTCTTAAGATAATGTGGTGTTTGTAAGTACAAAAGTCACCGTCTCATGCTATGATGATGTGGGTGATTGCTAAAGTGGTTTTAAGTGTGTTTTGTATTTTATTTAGCAAGGATACATTCAATTAATCAACAGTGATATTTATAATATTATAAAAGATTTCTATTTCAAATAAATGCTGTTTTTTTACTTTCTATTCGTCAAAGAATCCTGAAAAATTATGTATTACTGTTTCCACAAAAATATGATGCGGCACAACTGTTTTCAACATTGATAATAATCAGAAATGTTTCTTGAGAATCAAATCAGCATATTAGAATGATTTCTGAAGGATCATGTGACACTGAAGACTGGAGTAATGATGCTGAAAATGTATCAGGAATATATTACATTTTACGATATATTAAACAGTTATTTTAAATTGTAATAATATTTCAAGTATTACTGTTTTTACTGCATTTTTGATCAAATAAATGCAGCCTTAGGAAGCATAAGCGAAAAAATATTACTGACCCCAAACATTTGAACAGGTTTATAGAAACAGACCCACAAAACCAATGTTTTAGTCTCAGTTCCCGATTCTTCTGATTTGTCCCAGGTCAGGTTTTGGTCAGAAATGTCATCTAGTTTGATTTAGCCAGTTGAGGTGTTGTGTGTTTGTCAGCGGAGGAGTCTGATGATGGATGACTTACCCAGCGGCGCTCATGCGTTACCTGGTCTGGATGTGGAAGTTGTTTGTGGTCCCGGTGTGTTCGTAGTCGTGGATGACAGCAGCAAAAAGCATCGCAAAAATCTCCAACTCCGTCAGCCAGTGCTGGAGAGGTAAAACAACATCACACACGAGAGATCTTTGGAGACTTCTTTTAAAATTCCCACCTTCTAAGATGTCTTTCTTGATGAAACAAATATCTGAGACTAAGTTGATAAGAATAAAACAAACGTGACTGAAAACTCAGTTTAGTCCTTACCTTAAAACAATAAAGAAATAATTAAAGGCAGAGTAAGTGATTTCTGGTAGTTCAACGATCGTTTGATCGCGTCTAGTGTAGGCAGACTTTAGCTGTTGTAGACACGGTGACCTCGGCGTCCGATCGCAGGCCTCCGCTCCTTGAGTTCTCTCCAGCGCTGGAAAGCTGATCTGATATTTACACGGGTCCTACTTCTTGCCTTATCTTTCCGCAGACGTTTTCCTCTTTTGTTTTTTTATCCGCCATCTCTATCTTTCTGTCGCTCGGCTCGGCTAATGTCCGTCCCATGCACTGAACGCGCTCTCCTCCACATCACGGGAAGACACGCCCCTTATTGCTGATTGGCTACAAGTTTGTTTTGCGATTCGGCCCGAATCAGTTTTCTAAAGTGTTTTTGAAAAATCACTTACTCTGCCTTTAAGTAAGTCTTATTTTATGACAACTACTGACTCATCTGCTTTTTTATTCCTTATTATTTTAAAGAATTTAAGAAGAAACATTCGAGACAAAGTTGATATTTAAATAATACATAACTGACTCAAGTCTTTATTTTGGAGCAATAAAATAAAATAATTACGTGGTTTCAAATTAAAATTCATCTCTATACCTTTACTTTACAACAACTATTGACTCATCTTTGTCTATTTTTATTTCAGAAGAAAGAAAAGAATAAAGAAGTTTGGAAGAAACATCTGAGACAAAGTTGATATTTAAATAAAACATGCCTGAGAACTCGACTGAGTCTTTATTTCAGAGAAATAAAATAAATAAATAAACACATAAATAATTCGGTGGTTTCAAACTTGGAAAAAAACCAAAGCACAGAATCGATGGCAGAAGAATAATGAACATGTGTTGACAGACAAGCTCTGAAGGACGCCGAGCTCTCAGCTGCTCACTGCATTCCCGCAGGACTTCATCTTAATATATTAATTACCTATTAGAGAGACTCAAGTTCATTTCACTTTGGTGTAAAATGACACCACCTCACCTCATTTGTCTTGAGTCACGCGTGCAGAACCAACACTGAAGTGCATTGTGATGAGAGAAGTGCCTCTCTGTGAGTAAGCATTAATTGTGTTGTAATGACTAGTCAGGCGGAAGATAAAGCGATTTGGGTCAATGACATGTTAAGACCCTCATATGAGTAAACAGTAGTAAACAGTGTGAGGATTCTCTCCGTTTCTCTTCAGGAACTGCTGCTTTATGATTGGCCTGATGATTGTTCATTAAAAAGCTTAAGGCGTGTGTGTGTGTGTGTGTGTGTTTGTCAGCAGAATTAATGATTACGCCGCTGGGTTTCTGCACAGTTACTCTAGAGTTTGTGCCCACAGGCTTCAACATGTTGTCACAGTAACATTATCAAGATGATTAACACCTTATCTGCATTGAGAGCGAGTGGAACAACGTAACATTAGATCATTATAATCAACAAGCCGGTCTATACAGCAAGAGTGCGACGTGAAGCGTTGATAATGAAAGGTAGCAACAGTGTTGTTGTATTGTGCTGCTGTAAACACGAGATAAAGAGTTTACTTAACCCTGGTATTGTTAACTAAAACTAAAACTACAACTATTAAAAACGTTTTTTGGTAACTGAAATAAAACTAAAATGAAAAAAATGAAAAATAAAAGGTTGAAGTAAAAAATGACCAAAACTACAGCTGAAATATAGAAATAAAAAATACATAAAATGACTAAAACTCAAACTAAAATGAAAAGGAAAACTGTACAAATAAATGTTAGCTTAAAATAATAAAAATAGACAGCATATAAATAATACTAAAACAAGAAAAACTGTAAAACAAACAGTACATATAATGTATGAAAGATATATATACATTTATTATAATTAATTAATAATATATGATATTATGCACAAACTAACTTTTGAAAATGTGTAGCATGAATGAAACAGCAGTCTACAATTGATTATTAATTTATTCATTTAAAATAAATAAAAAATGTATATAATAAACAATTAATATAATGAAACAAATAAATGTGTATATTTAATTCGAGATAGATAAATTAATTTGAGATATTTATATGGAGAGATAGAAAAAAAATTATCAGACATTATATATATATATATATATATATATATATACAACATC